ACATTAATTCCTGGTGATCCTGCCATGAAGGTTGTTGTTTAGATACTTCCTGTTTTAGGGTGACCACACTCTGTCCCCATCTCAACATTGTGTACCTGCGTTGTCAGTCACATGCGCTGCTGATGAACAAGGACATGCAGCTGCAGCACATGCGTGAGGGGAAGTGGCTGCGGGTGATCAGCAGCACTGAGATGTAACAAAGAATGAAAAAAGGTTCAAAAACAAGTAAAACAAAATGGCAATTGTTGATGATATGCAGTGTTTTCTCAAACGAAATATCATCCACTTAGGCTACAGCTCTACAATAAGGGTCCAATCACACCAGAGGCGTGCTCTACTACCTGGGCGCTGGTGTGCGCTAATAGAGAAGCGGTGCAATGCACAGATTTCAGCACATCTCACTGTTTACCTTTTAAAAGAAAATTAATTGAAATGTCACAGATTGACATTGCATTCATTCCTATTCAAGTGGTGCAGTCATAACATGCTGTGGTGAAAGTAGGAACTGCATGCCCAACACAGCCCAACGCATGTAGAGTGAATGGGCCCCAGGACAGGTCATTCATACTGTCTGCAAAGGTGGGTTTATTAACATCATCAAATGGGGTCACAGCTTTAACCCCAACATTTTCACAAGCTGAAATCTACAGACTCACCTTTGGTCATATCACGCTGGGAGGTGTGGATCAGGTCCTGCCAGTGTAATCTCCATAAGGAGCCCAGATTGTCATCCCAAAGAGCCCAGATTCTCAGGTCCTCATACTGAAGACTCCAGATCCTTGGGCTTTCATACAAAAGAGTCCAAATTCTCCAGTCTTCATACCAAAAAGTCCAGATACTCGGGTTCTCATACCAAAGAGTCCGGATCCTCGGGTTCTCATACCAAAGAGTCCGGATCCTCGGGTTCTCATACCAAAGAGTCCGGAGCCTTGGATCCTCATACAGAAGAGCCTAGATCTTGGTGTCCTCACAGCAAAAATTAATATTCTTGGGTCCTCATACTGAAGAGTCCAGATCTTTGGGTCCTCATATCAAAGAGCCTAGTTACTCATAATAAGGAGTCCAGATCTTCATGTCCTCATGCCAAAGGGCCCAGATCCTCAGGTACTCATACTGAAGAGCCTAGATCCTTGGGTCCTCAAACAGAAGAGCCTAGATGCCAGGGTCCTCATACTGAAAATTCCATATCCTTGGTCCTCATACCAAAGAGCCCAGATCTTCAGGACTTCATACATAAGAGTCCAGATTCTCTCTAGGTCCTTATACCAAAAAGCCCCAAGTCTTGGGTCCTCATACCAAAGGGCCTCAATTTTTGGGTCTTCATACTAAAGAGCCCAGATTCCATGTTCCTCAAACCAAAGAGCCCATATGCTTGGGTCCTCGTATCAAAGATTGCAGATCCTCGGGTGTTCATACTGAAGAGGCCACATTCTCATACAAAAGAGCCCATATATTTGGGTCCTCATACCAAAAGGTCCAGATCCTCGGGTGTTCATACTGAAGAGGCCACATCTTCATACAGAAGAGCCCAGATCCTATGTTCCTCAAACCAAAGAGCCCATATCCTTGGGTCCTCGTATCAAAGATTGCAGATCCTCTGGTTTTTATACTGAAGAGGCCATATTCTCATACAGAAGAGCCCAGATCCTCATACCAAAGAGCCCATATCCTTGAGTCTTCATACTGAAGAGGCCATATTCTTATACCGAAGAGCCCAGACCCTCAGATTTGCAAGGTGCACAGAGCAGCTATGTACATGCTGCTTACAGACTTAGTTGTGAATGATCTTCAGACAGTCCTGTATTTATTAGCCTTCTGTGGCTGTTACTTTTTATTTTCTTTGTCCATACAATGCACCATTATGCGATGTGCTGTGTAGAACAGTGTTACCTCCAGTATTGATGGCAGAAGTGCTGAACAATGGGGCATTTATAAATCCTTAGTTTTACTGTACCTGAGAGGAGCCAGATCCAGAGACAGGGAGAGCCTTTGTGACAGCTTAGGACACTACGCGCCGCACTGTTTTGACAACTGACATCATAAATCACACAGGCCCTTGTGTTTTAAACGTATCTGAAAGAGGACTGCAGGCCTTAAAAACGGAAACCCCTTATTATAGTAACTGTCTCAGTGCTGTAAGGTCAGTGTCCCCAGCTGAGACCAGCTAACAGACCTCTTCCAGCTGGCAGGTGACACCAAGAAAACACAAAGTCACACTCCCAGTGTCACCTGTCTATCATCTTAAAACCCGTCTCTGTCTTCTCTCCATCCCATTCAGGATTTCTTTAAACTTTCCTTTGGACTCTCCTCATTTGGTGGTGCCTCTATTTTTTGTTCTAATTGACTTCTCTAAAAGCAATCATGCGCCACCAAAGAAATCCATATTGCAACCAGGGGACGTTTACAGATAGCAGCGCCTCTCATTCTTCCTCACAATTGCAGCATTTATGGGCAGCTTTAGGACTTGATCACACCATCTCCAGACCACATCTGGATGCGTTTCGGGAAACGCGAGTAATGCATTTGTGATGTGTTTCTGTGTTTTATGTTGTTGTTGTTTCAATTGAATTTCTAGTGTGTTCCAGTGTGTTTCCATGCGTTTTGGTACATTCTAGAACCCAAAAAATAGTGCATGCATTACTTTTTTTAAATGTTCTGGAACTGTCGCCGTGGTGTGTTTTCAGACCAGACAAAAAACGTTCTGGTCTGAATCTGGAACAAAGTCAATATCTGTAAAATAGGGACGCACCCATACCGATACTAGTATTGGTTCCGATATGGAGTATGCACCGATACCTTTCCTGAGACCAGAAATTCCGGTCAGAGGGAGCTTTCCTGACCAGCAGTGGCGCAAGGGAACATAGAGCCGGCTTTCCGGCCAATCAGGAAGCCGGGCGGCGGGTATAGACCGGGTGATTGCCCAGGAAGCCGGCTCCATGCTAACTGAAGTACCGGTATCAGTATTCGGTATCGGCGAGTACCGAAATATAAATATAGATATTCCTAAGAATGTGCATAGGAGAAATCCCACCAGAACATTGGATGACATCATCAGAGACTTGACGAATGTCTTTGGATACTTCGCTTGGTTGTAACATTCGATTTAGGAATTAATGGAGTTTCATGAACAAAAAAACACCTTCATTTTTTTTTCTGTCACGGCGATCGATCTTTGATTGGACCCCAATAACCATTAGAAAATGGAACGAATGTTCCAAACATGATTATTTTTATTTCTGTTGTAACGGTGTATACCGGGATTTATAATATTACAAATGTCTGTAATGGAAATATTACATTATATAAATATTATACTATTATATTATATAAACATCAGTTTTTACACAATGCATCTTTTTTATTTTTTACTTTCCTACACCTACAATTCAGGCAGCGTGAGGAGATCCATGGACTGCGGAGCGCGGCATGACGTCATGTGACTGTACCTTGTGGGAGATAACATTGACAGGCTGAGAATGGCGGGAGGGGGGGGCTCCAG